GAGGGCAGCACCGAAGTGCCCTTTCTTCCTTTTGTCTTTTGCTGTCCTGCACGTTGCTAATATCTGTGCCCTCCGGTGTTGCTCATGCTCTCCTCCCCTTTATCGCGCTTGGTCCACTTTTTCCTGTTTTCCTAAAATTGTTATTTGAGTGGTCATTTTACATCTCGCTGTCTAGCGGCCCCAGGCTCTGTTACCCTCCTTGCTTAGAAGCACCCCGTAGTGCTGGTGCGCGCACCTTGGTGTTGCTCAAACAGAGAGGCAGGGGATGCCGTAAGGCTGCGCTCAGTAAGCTACCTTCGGTGTCAGCCATGGTATCAAAAGTATTCTCCCCCTTCATCTACAAGGAGGGATGCAAGCATGAGTACCAGTTTCCTAACATAACGTTAGTTTTAAGTATAAGGTTACAGAGAGCTGGGGCTTGTGCTTACTGTCTTTAGGCGCCTCGGGAACAGATTCTGAGCTAAATGTGATTCGGTTATAAAGAAGACTCAAATGATGACCTGTGGGAATGTTTCCTTATAGGCTAGGCTCTGCAGAATTAGGACTAAAGTCTGCATGGCACCATCTTTTGGGAGATGTCTTCAAAATGAGCTGTGGACAAGGCCATGGAAAAAGGAAGAAGTTCACCCACCCTCCTTTTTTGGTACGTGGGCGTGTTTGCAGTCACAAAACCAGCGAGCTAATGGTGTTAATAATTATTTTGGGAGACAGCGAGAGCCATCAATGCGTCAGTGCCATTCGGCCCCTGCTGCTGTGGCCCAACAAAGGGGTTTGGATGAGAAAACAGAAGAGTTCAAACTGGTCTACAGGTTTCCGGGGATTAAGTACTGCAGGGTACTGTCCAGACTGAAGCTGTTACAGACTGCCACCACCATGGTCATGCTGCCTCCCATCTGCTACCTCTACCTGCAAGACCAGGTTTCTCAGAATATCCTCTTATATACAACTGGCATTGCGTTCTTTGCTGGTGCAATGTTGTATGGTATGAGCTACTTTTTCAGACGAATTATTGGGTTAATCTACTTAAATGAAACTGGCCGTACTGTCAAAGTCGCCCACTTGACGTTTTGGGGAAGACGGAATGACATTTATTGTCCCATAGAGACAGTGATGACTCTGGATGAAGTTGGAGATAGCAAGGGGGAGCTACTTCTCCAGTTCAAACGGTGTAATAGTACAGATGTTTTATATTTTACAATTAAGTTTGGCCAGATTGTAGACAGACAGAAGTTTACTCAAATATTTGGAGAACTTCAGTGATACAGCAGCTAATTTCCAGTGTTTTCCCTTGTTGCATGTTCATTGTGCTTATTCCTCTGTGAAGTTTGATTTAATTAGTTTACCAAACTGACGTGCTTCTGTCATTTTCCTGTGCAAAGCCTGCTGGTAAGTGCACTCAGTGTAGAAAGTAGCAATGGTAAAGAACAATCCACTGGATTGAACGTCTCCGCAGCTTCTTTAAGGTGTGAGCAGCGTCTCTTCTGTGTCGGATACGGTGCTGCGCATGGTGCGCTGTCACCAGGGGTTGCCAAGTCTAAACTGCCCTACTTGGAACGAGCAGGAGGAGGCCAAAGGGCTGGTGCTGACCTCAGCTGCCTCGGCTGCCCACTTAGCTCGTTTCAAAGCAGGAACAAACTCGAGAAGTGAAATGCAGGAACTCTGCCAGAGCATCCTCACTTTACATTCATTGTTTCTTTTAGCAATTTTTAGGTTGACTGGGAAGCTTCTTGAAATTATAACCTGTCTCATACATACATGTGATAAATAATGCTGCATGTCAGAGAGAGATGTGCTCATGCATTAATGAAATGAAGGGAGCTGGAAAGAGCAGTGTATAGTGCTGTGTAAGGTGCCTGGGGTCTCTTGGCAGGGTCTTCCAGGATGTGAACGTAACCGGGCAAAACAAGGGTGCGGGACACACTGACGGTTCAGCTGTAAGGGCAAGTTAAAGACTGGGGCAGCATTTCAGGAGCCTCTCGTAGAAATTGCTTTCCCATTGGAACCAAGGAAGAACATACCTAAACTGCGATGCTGTGAGTTAGAGGGACGGTCTGTGATCCTTTGCTCCGTTTGCATCCTAATGCTCCTCTGAAAACTTGGAACTACTTGTCCTTCTCTGCATATATTCATGTTTGTGTTTCTTTTGTGTGTATGAATGACACTTAATCAATGCTGTAACACTTGAACTGCAAAAACTTCAGTAAATGTTACCAAAATTATCTTAGACTAAGTGAGTTAAGCAGTCTTCTGAGAAGATTACCATACAGCCGGGGAAACAAGTCATCTGTATCCCTTGATGTGCTTTTGGGGCATATTTTAACATCAGAAGCTCTGTTGCCAAATACCCTTTCCACTCCCTACTCCCCCAATGTCGGTTTACCTAAAATGAAAAGGAAAAAGGTAAGACACCTAAAAGTTATGTTGAATTCAGGCCAAAAATACGTGTACTTCGTATTCCTGTTGAACTTGCAGGGCTGACCACCTCAGCACCTGTGTCTGTAAAGGACAGTGGTCTTATTCTGTGGTGCTAGTAGGATTCCTCCTTTTCCAAAACCTGAGTAGAAATGAGGAGCAGGATTTCAACCCAAGAAAGGATCAAACCTGATCACTTGTAACATGTAAAACTTTTTTTTTGAATTGTCAGAAGCAAGTTAACTCCTTACACTGCTCTTCTAGCTGTTACTTCATTTGAAACTGGCAAATAAACTGACCCTCACCAACAGAGAAATTTGCAGTGTTCTTTTCCCTCTTTCTTCCTCATGCATCTCAGTGGATCGGCAGATGGAGGTAAGTAAAGCTGCCCTTTCAGTGCACAGGCTAACCCTCATTTACTGTTTGTTCAAGTTGAACTTTTCCTAATGGGGGCTTCATTGTTTTAAATTTTGGCAGGTATTGTGCGGTACAGCAATACCAAAAGGAAAAGGGAAAAGTTCCTTGGCTTAAACAGCATGGCAGCAATACACAGTGGAGTATAAGCATACACCATGTATTTTGGAGGCTTATCTTTGTAAGAACATGGTTAGCATGCGCTAACGATTCAGTTTAGGCATGTGCTAGGTGTAAAATAAAAAGGCCTGGAGAAATTCAATTATAAATATTTTATTTAAGAATACTGATTACATATGAGATGTCATTTGTTATGAATCTGTGTACAGTTACTAGTTACACCATGAAGTGTAGTTAAGTATTTGTTTAAACATTTATTTGGCACTGTCCACAGTATGCTGTAAACAATATTAACTTTATATGCTTCAGCTGCAGTGCTTTCTATGTATTCTCTAACATCATTTCATCAACATGTTGTACACAATTATACAGTTACTGAGTGTCAGTAAAAATTATAAAAACACCTAGAGTATTCATAATAAAAGTGAAGATGTGGTAAGACTTCAAATTACTGGACCTTTGCTTCTGTAAAAGTACAAGACTTGCTAGAGACATTTACTAAAACTACTGCACTGATATGTTGAACAAACTAACTCCCAAAATGCTGTCAAATACAGTTCTTGGTTTGACTTCCCTCTTGCTGATCATACGCTTACGAGGACAGCGAGGTTTTGTTGAACACCAATTTGCCAGTCCTTCCCCCAGATTTCTACAACCTCTGTTCAAAAACCCACGCAGGTTCTGACCAGCTGGTATCACAATTCCAGTTTCTGCAGAGAGCTTTACAGAAATCCCATTATTTTTAAGCTAGCAGAAGTGAGCGTACTTGAGTTTCCCAATACCAGCACTCAAAAAATAAAATGGGAAAACCACGATCAACACTTCTAAAAGCAGGTAAGAAACCTTTCACATTTTGGTAGCTGTATTAAACATGTAAATCTTTTAAATGCTCCGTCTCTTGTGATGTACTTAAAAATTGTGGTCAGATCCTAATAGGGCAACTGTAAAGTCCCCTGTGGTCCCTGTCTTTTGGTGCAGAACATAAAGTTAAGCTTAGTAAGCAAAATCCAGATGTTTGCTAGCCAGGAAAAAGGGGCGGGGGGGGGGGCGAAGGCACCAGACCTAGTTCAAGTCAGCCTTAAGCAAAGAGTAGATGGTAAAGAGACATCCAAACCAATTCTCTGAAGAGAAACAAATTAATGACCTGTTGACGCTTTTTGATCCTGTGGCTTTCTAGAGTATCTCTGAAGTATCAATGACTTGGAATAAACTATTAGAACAAAAATAGAATTACTTTGCATTATAAATGTGCAATTAGGACTAGGCCTTCACTGCAGTGGCTCTGATGTCAGGTAATGGCTAAGATCAAGCAATTCTGCTGTAGTTTTACAAAAAACCTCAAGTATTCATGTAGAACTTGTAATGGCTATTTTGTGTTATGGGCAAATGGTGAATAATCTCAAATCATTCTAGACTGCTGACAGAGGTGGAGATAACGTGCTTCAAACGATTCTCTGAGCTTTGTCAAATTACGTACTTGAGGGTATAGTTTTCTCTGTACAAGTCTGATTGTAAGAGAAGTCAGAAGTTTTAAAATCCTAGATGAGGAAAAAGTACAAGTACTTCAGTTCCACTTACAGCACCGCACGCAGGGCCGAGTGCGTCGGTGCCTCTGAAGCAGTATGTGTAGGCTGAAGGCTGGGCATAGGGTAGCTGATAGCATCCTGATCCGGCTGGCGTGGCAGGCGGCTGTATTCAGAACAAAGCCCGAAATTACTCTGTAAAACACTGTGCTTGGCAGCGGTGGAAAGCAGAGCTTTCCCTGAAACACCAACTATTCCAGCTACCATTAGAGAATGGCACTTTCTGTATGGCAGGCATGTGGCTTAAAGTGTGACGCCATACTAGTTGCTGCTTCTGGACGCAACTGTAAATCTACTGGGATCACCTGTGAAAACGGACTGCAGCAGGTTGTATTTAAGACAATCAGATAGTCAGGGCCATGAATGTAGAGAGGACTCTGCAATTAGTAGGACCCAAGCCAGAAGATGGAGGGCCACGGCTTCTACAACTGCACAGTGTGGGGCAGCTGCATGTACCTGCTGGTGACCAGTACCAATGCTCTGCCTGGGCTGAGTTTGCATGGAGCGGCTTGCCTTGGGCGGGATTACAGACAGAACACAAACCTTAGTTTATGACTTTACACTGATCTTGTAAGTAGAGGAGACATGAATTAATGCAAACTAATTTCATAATCAGCTGTTCAGTGCAAGGGAACTGCTTTTTACTTGAAGTTTGCCAAGATGTCACTGAAAATGTTCAGAAAGAGGTGTGCATGATGATCCTTGAAGATCAGTGTTGGACGAAAACGAATTGATCTGTCGCCACAGCCTCCCAGCACAACTCCTAAAACAAGAACAGAACAGGTCCTCTCGTCACTTCCCTCTTTGCCACATATCCAGAAAACGGAGGTCTCCAAATGAGGGTCACCTCACTGCGGAGGGCCAACAGAAGATCCCCCAGTCACTGCTACCCACACAGTGATACCGCAGACAAGCAGTGGTGCACAGGGGCCTCAAGCTTCACAGCAGCTTAGGAGCACACTGTGGGCGCCTGTGACTGTTGGGTGAGACCCTTGGGAGTGCTGGGACTAATCCCAGCGTAGGTGGAAAGACTCCATCCAGCGCAGAGCTCAAACAGCACCTGAGACTTCAAAGCTGCAATACTCTACTGGTTAAGTACCTCAATGCCAGAACAAGATGCAGTAAGATTCTTTGCAATTTTGTTTTTAATTACAAAAAGTGAAAGTATCTCAGTGCTGGCAGACTTCTTCCTGCAGTACTTTAAATGCATGGGGTTTTTGTTTGGTTGGTTTTTTGTTTTTGTTTTTTACCCCAAAATCAATTAATTCTTTGAAATGTTTGCGGGCAATGAAAATCCAAACTATCGAGCTGAGCTTACCCTGCCTCTAAGCATAGCCTTGGTTTACCATGAAACAAACCTTTTGCCTTCTTGCCCTGATGGCTTAGTTTCCAAGAATAAAAAATATCTATGTCTTTTACAGTCTTAAAAGTTTGGTTTCACAATGCATCATGCTTGCTTCTTTCAAGAGATGGGAGTAACAGCAAAAACTGACAGCAGCAAACCCAGGGGCTACACACAGTTACATTCAAAGAGGATGTTAGGCTTCAGGTCAGGAGGCTCCCCTCCTGATACCTGAGCTTGTCTACAGCTGGGTAAGAGTTCTGTAGTGAGAGTGGGATGGAGTTGTAGATCTGTGCTCATTTCAGGCAGCACATTGCATTTCTTTATTGGGTATGCCCTACAATTCATAGTTTTTCTCCCTGTGTTTTCCTGGGTGACAGTTACATTAACTTTCTTCCAACTTTCCTCTTCTGTTTCTAGAAGTCAGTCATGCCTAGGTACACCTAAGGTCACTGCAGAGGAGTATGAAAGTGATGTCACAAAAATTCATGCCCTACATAGATCTCTTCCAGTAGCGTTAGACCTATAAAGAAAGGTGAACATACACATCATGCCACAGACTGGTCTGATGTCTCTGAAAATACAGGTATTTCCAGATATGTCTAAATAGAGCTTTGTTCATAATTTCACTTCTGCCCTCTGATACTGTAGTACGCATACACCAGACAAAAAAGGAAAATTTAAAGCACTACATGCTACTGTTTGTCATTTGAAGCTAATCCACACACGCTTTCTTACCTTTGTTTCTGGCTATTGTAATTAACTTGTTTCTAGTTGCATCATTTGGAGTGTCAAACGAACAGAATGTTCCTCTCCCCCGTGCTCTGCTGATAAGATGTGGGTAACGAGCCTGCAAAGAGAGGTGAGGAAATACGGGTGGTGGCTGCTGCAACAGAGGGCACCTGGTGGGAAGCTCTGCTCTGCCAACAGAAACCTGCTGCCGCCTCCCTTCTGGTGGCGTGGAGCTGGTGCGCAGGCTGAGTGGGTTTCTCACATAACCCTGTGTCCTGTTCTTCCTCCCCGACCAAGGTCTGCACAGGCACAGACTGCCGAGCCCAAGAGCACGCAGGTTGTGCCCTCACAAACGGCTGAGCAGGAAGCGAGAATGAATTTGCACCCCTGAGCTGAGTCAAGTGAGAACTTACTTGGAGCCTCCTGAAGCGAGCGCAAAGCACCTCACACCTAAAAGGCACTCCAGGAAAACCTGAGCATAAATAACCTGGAGTGGGGCTAGAAACCAGTTCATTCTTACGCTGTGGCAAGTCACTTGCTGGTATTACCTGCTTCACTTACTATCAAGTACAATCCTCATCTTTTATTCTAAGAGTAACCTGGTTTGGATAGTACTAGTTGTATTCTGGCCCTCCAAAGTATGAAGATTATGATTTTTCATGTTCTCCTGCCTGCTGTGCCTTGAAGTTGCGGAGAGGGCAGAGGCTGTATTTGGGTTTATCCTGCGCAAAATGCCTTTTGGGAGGCAAACACCTGCAAGCCTACCCTTACATGCGTATCTGATTTTCCTTCTCATGCGGGGCTCCATAGCTGAAGCTGTGAGGAATTTCCCTTAATCAGCAGAGGGAAAGCTACAATTTTCTTGTTTCAACAGCCCGATGGAATTTTAACAAAATATGAAGGCACTTCCCTTTAAAAAGAATTTTTGGGACAATGAAATGCTAGCTGCTTGGGATAACAGAGACTTCTAGCAAAATAATTTAAGTAGCTATAATTCATACCTTCAGATATTTTGGAGGTCACCCTTTATTTTGGATTAAGCTATATAAAACCAGCATTCTTCAGTCAGTAAAAAAATGTTCACTTCTGTTCCAACTGGGACACAGTTAGTCAGGCTTGCACAGAAGTACCTAAACCAGCAAGTTACGATTATGGTCTAGTCCCAAGCTGGAGTTCCTCAGTCCAAGTGTTTAAACTGGATGAGGTCAGACCCTACCTGATCAGCAAATTTCTCCTTTTTGTCTGTAATCCTTCCGGATGTTTACCTGCAAATCCAGCAGCCCAGTCAGCAGTGCTTTCCCGGCATGGGTTGCATTATTTAGAAGGTCTTCTCTTTTAATAACCTTAATGACTTCAGCAAGCATAAGGTTCTTGGATGGATCTCCCAGCCAGGTATTAAAAATCCGATAGGGCTTGGGAAAGAGA